ACTGGAGAAGAAACCGCATTCTGCGCAGTAAAATGCAGAAACTGATTCCTTGTGGAAAACATAGATACAGCAACGGCAACCTCCATATAAATTTCCCTGCGTATTCTCAAAATGTCGTATAGCATCACACTTGTTACACACAGTTTTGTAATGTTACTGTTACTACTACGTATAACCGGAATACTATTTTTAATTTACATGTTTTTTAAATACACTCATCAAAGAAGCCAATTTTTAATTGCTTTCTGATAGGTCATGGCTCGATTCATAGCTACTTGGCAATTCTGAATGCTCTCTCACAGAAAAGTTCCATCTAAGACACCTCAGCAGAAGGCTCGGACATTTTCCTGGTGAAGAAACAGCATTCTTTGCAGTAAAATACAGGAACTGATTCCCTGTGGAAAACATAGGTATAGCAACTGCCGTACAACGGCAAACTCCATATAAATTTCCATGCGTATTCTCAAAATGTCGTATAGCATCATACTTGTTATACACAGTTTTGTAATGTTACTTTTACTACTACGTATAACCGGAATAATATTTTTAATTTACATGTTTTTTAAATACGTATTGCTTAATGCTGTTCTCCCATCCTAGCGCCAGTGGCTCAAACTGAAACTGCATTCGGGCCGAATGCTTCATCTCAAAGCAGATAACGGCGCAGAACATTTTCTCCACAAGATTTTAAAATATTTACAACAAAATAAAACAAAAATAAATAAATAAATAAAATAAAAAAAATTAATTCCACTTACTGAATATTTATCGTACATAAATAACAACTACTGCACAAAGGAAAAAATTTAATTTTTCTTTTTTTCTTTAAGTCTATAGGTAAGGCATATTCAAGGTTGGTCTATTGGTTATACTTTGTAATTCAAAAGCATTGACAGCTAAATATAAAAATTTAGACTGACATTTACTTCGCACATTACTCTAGTCACGTGGCCTGACATACAAGCACACAGTGGCAAATCTATCTTTTTCCTTTTAATAGAAGTCGCACGCCTAGGCTCATCCATTATCATCATAAGGGCACAGCCCTGATCCTCCTAGCCGGCCGTATGATCAAAAAATGGGACTGGAGGCTCATCCATATCTTTACACTACTAAAAATAAAAGCACCGTATCTGCAACAAATATTTCATTAAATGTATTCCCAGGCTGTATAAAATTGCTTCGACGGCTATGAGTTTTCCTACATAACAGATTACTTGTAGTCAAGCAGTGGCCGACATAAGTTTAAAACTATGAATGGGACATCAGTGGCGCTAATAATAATAAAAATACACATACCCTATCCCAATGCGGTTCGGAGAAAGCGATTGATGAAGTTAAATTGCTATTTTCGTGCCTTTTGATATTATGCAGCATTATAGAAATTTTTAGAATGCCAAGTAAAGACCTACGAGCGGCCGAGCATTGGGCTAAACACTGGTAGTTCAGTCTGAGGTTCGAATCTCGCGAACGGGCTAGCTGCATGGGCGTTTTCGTGGTGTAACGTGCAAAAGAGCCATTTTTCTTTACAAAGTCCTCCAAGAAGGCACATCTTCCCTTAAGCAGATAGCCCTCGAAGCTTTGCCGTAATCACCTAAATCAAGCCAATGTCAAGTAAAAGCCAGCTCAATGGGCCACCTCCTTTATTACTTTTGAAAACTGGAGATGTGAAGAAAGATTCTTCTCATCCGCATGCAACTGCTATTCTAAAAGTTTTAACAGCGATCTAACTCCTTATTAAATAAATTAATTATTCAACCCTTACTGATTCCATAATTTTGTCTCCCATGTGAAAATTATAAAAGAAAATTCAACGCATGCCTCAAAATTATATCAAATAATGCACTTTTATAGTAAGATATGAAATGCGTTAATACCTGATTTTTAAACTATACTAAAAACGAAGAACCAAAAAAATTTTTTGGCCTTGTAATAATGAATTTTTTTGGCATAAACATTACTTATATCCAGAGCTCCAACAATCATTTCCAGTTTATTCATTTTGAGTAGTTTTCCAAATAATTAAAAATTTCACATGAATTGAGGTATTATATTAACTTTTGAAATGGTTTTCATTAATTTTATGCTCTGCTATGACACATGTTCAAACTCCCAGTCGTTATTAAAAGCAAGGACTTTTAATTAATATTGCGAGCTCGAAGCCATATGAACTCGTAAACATCCTTTACAGTTCCAATAATTATTGATGCATTTTGAAATGTAATATTAAATCTGAATCAAACGAGATTTCCGCAGCCTTTTAAGCCCCGACCTTTCTAACAAATCCATGTTACTTTTATTTAAAACGTGCATTCGTACTTTAATACTATATTTGTTAATATATTAATAATTATGCAGGATTCTTTTATTAAAAGATTGCGAGTATCGATATATTGAAAGAGACTCAAGTAGAGAAAAACAACCAGACTAATGGCAAATGCGGAAAAAATTATGCATTAGAAATTGGTTGGCCAATTTTGAAATATAATGAAAAAATAAAAATGAAAATTTCCAATTTATTTGTTACGAAAATTAGCTTTTCTCCAGCTTTATACTTCGTATCACACTGACTTTACAAAGAATCAAAGGGAAAAAACCTTTTGCATGAAACAATACCACGATTTGTCATTTATCGTAAGACTATATAATGAATAGCCATAACGTCTCATAAAAGCAAAATGTTCATTAAACAAAGGGAGTTGAAAGAAATTCTCTACTTGTCATTTACATAACACACGCTGAAAAATTTCCCCCGAAAGGGAAAAGTTTTCTTCAGTCAGGCGAGATTTTTCTAAGGGCCACAAATCGCAACCCAGTCATTTATTCCCTACTTCCCAAACTTTCCCTTCAATCCGATTAGCACATATGGGGAAGATCCTTCCCTTTCTTTTTTTTTCCGCCCCTTTTTGCATCGAAACTGAATGAAGTTTTTTTTTTTTTTTTTGTTAAGAATTGAAAACTGCACAGAAGGATTTGCATTTACAATTTATTTTCATTCTGCCCAAACTGAGCAAGCAGAACTTTTGCTCGTATTAACATACCCAGAAACTAAAATCTGGAAATAACGTACATATGGAAGGTATTTACAAATGATGGGAACACTTCAAAAATTTGTATACAAAGAATAATACAGCTAGTTGACATCTTCATATACACCCCACGAAAGAAAAAACACGGAACGTAAGTTTTTTTGTTTTCTTTTCATAATGCATGGATTTTCTAAAAACCACTCAACTGGCACATCGAATGCGTAGGCTAAAGTGCATTTGTTGAAATAGATATAGATATCATCTGATTTATAAATATTAATGTTCTTCAGCAAAAATCGCGTTCATAATAGTACATAAAAAATCATGTTGCTCATGATGCCCAAGAATTAAAAAAACAAAACTGTTGAAACTATTGTTGTGGTCGGCAAATGCACAGTAGGGCACAGACTGGATTAGTGTGTGGACTTCTTTCAAACGGTCTTGATGTTTGCTCAATTCTTCGTATAATAAATTGCTAAAGTGTTCCCATACTACATTTCGATCCTTGTAATAAATACATACATATATATTTTTAGTTGAAGAACAGGCGTTAAAGCTTACATAAAAATAATTTCATGTACATGCGGATATCGGTGACTCACGTTAAGAAATAGGGGGCGGGAGAATTTGGTTATTTCATATCTGAATGTACTTCGTATGTAAAAGCCGGAGGCTGGGAAATACACGTGCAGAATAAATTAGTTTACTAGGGAAAAAAATTGAATAATTAATTACACTACAAATTTCGATCTCAAAATCTTCATTAGCCTTATTTTTTTCTACAAGTGGTGTTAATTGCCTATCGTTTTATTAAGATCCCTAATTACTATGTTCGCGTCGAATAACTTTGTCTTGAAGGGAGGGGAGTAACATTTGCTTCATAATATGCATTGAAGCTTCGTTGAGTTAGGCCTTCGACTGGAATTAGAAATCAAAATCGAAATGTGAAATCAAATTCATTAATGTGCTGTTTCCACGAAACAGCACATTAATAAAGCCAACAGCGAGCTCCTGGTTTTTTCAAATTCAGGATTAGCATATGAATTAATGAGACCAACTGAAAGAATAAGATCTGATTAAATGCGATCTTCGCAGCCTCCTTTGTGTTTAAGACGTGAATATGAGCCAATTCCTTTAGACAGTCCTTTACAAATGCATCGCTCCCCTTAGGTAGCCCCAGCGCCCTAGTGTGCTTAACATAATACAAATAAAACCCAGTCACTTCAAGGCCTCTCAGTCCAACGCAGTTTACGAAAAGGGAGGCTGTTCGGTCAGAAGGTTCTAATGTGATCAGAAGCGACTGCAAAAGAAGGGACTTCCACTGAGACCTAACCCCAAGATTTACCCTTGCACGGACGAGACAGCTACGATGGATAGTAGCCGACTTCTCACAGTTTATACGAGAAGACAGATTAACATCTAACCTATGAAGACCTGAAAACTACTGGCTATCAGGTTGGACCTGATGGTTGCGTCCCTTAATTTTAGTCGGAAATCAATGCCAAATATAGGTTTACTCTTTTTTTACATTATTATCAATATACTATTCGAGATAGCAAAATAACAATACAGAAAATTAAGCTTAAGGATGCTTCAAAATTTTATTTAAAAATTTTTGCTCTAGCATGTATCACGTCAAATACTTCTTGCTCACAACAACAACAGAAAAAAAAAAAAAAAAAAAAAAAAAAAAAGAGAGAGAGAGAGAGAATCCTGGTATTCTAATTACTCACTAAAGTTATACACACGAATCTGTCATCTAAAAAAAAAAAAAAAAATAACACTCGTCTCTACAAGTAAATGCAATGAGCATGCTCAGTTACATATTCAGCAGTTAAAACATATTTTCGTTATAATGATACATTCGTTATGCTAATAGACAATACAACGACGTCTTTTTCAATACATACCATGATTGATAAAATGTCTAAATTGGTTTAGGGAAAAGTATGTAAAAAGAAAAGGGCATACCTTTGGCAGCCAAGGCTTCAGACGAGGAGTAACCGAGTTTGTTGAGTGCCGTACGGACAATTTCTGAAAAGAGAGCATTACTAGGTATAATGGCATAATTATCGAGGTCCACGGCTGCTTGGGATAAATCCACTGATTGACCTTGGGGAGTGACCTGCTCAACGATGCAATGCACTGGGATTGATCGCCCTGAAAACAAACAAAAAATATTTATTAATATACATATGACTGGTCGAACTTCCTGTACAGCCATTAAAGGCTTAACAGGACTTAGTGGAGCTATTTGATTAAAGAAACATTGAGATCTAAAACAAGGCCTTAAATCAGGCCCATTAAGCAGTAGAACTACCACCCTACTACCTGAAATAACTTTAAATAGAATAAACAACTAAAATATGAACTTAAAGTCTAGGAGATGGTGAGATTTACCAGCTACACCAACAAAAGCACATTATTACATACTTTGTAAAATATAACACATGTTACTTACATGCATAAAAATATGTTACTTACATATACAAAGAAATAAAATAACAGAATATCATAAACATCCTAGTTTTCCTTAAAACAGACAGGGAAATTTTAAACACAATCAATATATAAATTCATTTCATTTACAGATACATATTTTATGAAATTTGACAATTTCAATTTAATCACATTAATATACATATAAGAAAGAAAATTGGTCTTTATAAAAAGGATAATTTTAGTGTCATTTACTGTTTCTTCCAAACCCAGTGTAGGCACTGACAGAAGAGTGATTCTCAAATAAAAAGGGATTCCGTTATTAAAAAAATTGCAAACAGAAAGATAAAAATAAAATTACGTTTTAAAAGTAAATGCTCGTTTATAACAAGCTGATCTTACTTTAATGACCTTAATCCCCAACTAGTAAAGATGTTAACGGCAGTTATATTATAAAATTAGCCGTGAATTTGCGAAAAGCAGTAGAAAGAGAATCGTAGCTCTCTCCTTATAAACTTATATGAGGCTCAATCATCCACCTAGAGAAGGCCTCCATGAAAGCACTCGCTTTCATAGAGACAACAGACGTAATTTTGCCATAAGGAATTTACAAATTGCCGGAATGATATGCTGACCATTACACTGTAATAAGACAACGAAGGAATTTTGATATCATTGTTTCCTTCCATTTGGTAATTCGCAGACTAACACAACTAGGGGAAAAAATTCCTCCAAAAATATTTCATTAGAGAATTAGATTTGATTACCTAAACAAACCCTTTTTTCATATTTCTTTCCTCCAAATACTAATGTGAAAAATTGCTTCTATCACAAGGACAAAAATTTATTAAAAGCTGCTGAAAAATATACAATTATATAATACACATTTTACTACATTAGGAAGAACGCAGTAATAAAATTCGAAACTGCTCTTCGACGAGAAAGAGAAATTGTGTCATCGAAACAACGTGCATTAAATGAAAGTGACATCGATGATGATAATAGAAAAAGGGAGATAAAAACAGAAACAAATAATAAGAAAAATAAAACATACTTTAAAAAGAGATTCTCTAAACGATTAGATCACCAACGGAATAACAATAAAGGAAATGTGCCCCACAGAACTCTCACCCACAAATATTAGTAGCTGCTCACTTACGATACAATGGAATCTAGTTTCAGTCAAGTCACATTCATTTCAAGTTGTTCCAAGAAATAATTTAAATTTAGCGTCAGAACTTAAAACCCTCACTTCATTTCTAATTAGATTTGCTGTCAATTAAGAGAACTAGTCTCTAATATCAGAAAGAAACTATTTCCTAATAATACATTGAACACTGTTTTCTATAATATAAAATAAATTGATCAATTTGCCGCTCAGACGGGGAAGTGTTAATGTATCGAAGGGCCCGGGTTCGAATCTCGGAGAAGGCATGCATATAATTTGTCCGTCCCCTCATAAGAGGGAACGATGGCCCACCTATTAGATGCTTCCATAATAAAGTGACCACCGCATCCAGCCTTAGTGGTGGCCATCGCCTATAAACGGCTAGAACCTACTAATGGGAAAAAAAAAATAAATCGGTCAATTTAATTAAGACAGAACATAGGAATGTCATTTGGCACGGGAGGCATGCCTTTGAGGGGGACTTTTTAAGACAAGTTCACTCGCATTTACACTACACATGGGTAAAATCAGTGCTCATACAGCTAGTCCTTGCAGAGATTCGCACCCGGATTGATCGGATTCGTTGATTTAGTTTACTTGATTACGACAAAATCACCGCGAAGGTCAATCTGCCTGAAGAAAGAGTTGCTTTCATACAAGACTTTCGAAGGAAACTGACTCGTATACACGTTACACAGGGGTAAAGCCACGAAAACGCTCACACAGCTAGCCCATTCCCCTGCAGTTGAACTCGGGTCGAACCACCAGTGTTCAGCGACTTTCGCTCGGTTGATGTCGAGCCGATTGGTTACATTATTTAGATTTTGGCAAAGTATTTTAAGGCTATCTGCCTCGAAAGAGGGGATGAGTTTGTGGAGGAAATTTTAAGGGAAACTATGTTTTCCTCGCATATTCGCAACACACATAAGGTAAGCCATGAAAATTCCCAGCCAGCGGGCCCATTTGCCAGGAAGTGAACCCAGTTAGAATTACCAGTGTACAGCAGTTTAACCGCCTTGCGGGCAAGCAGTTTATAATATGAATTACAGTTAAACTCCTTGTCTAATAGATCCTTAGTCTTTCTTAAATACAAATCATAAATATCGAAAAGTATTTCCTTGAAAATTTTTTTTCTTCATTGATTAAACTCCTTCTCTAAAAGATCCTTGGTCCCCTCTTGCATACAAATTATAAATGTCGAAAAGCTTTTCATTGATTTTAGAATCGTTATCGATTCGACCTATGTTGCTCAGCTTCAAATGAAACACACAAGAAGTATGTCTTCAACAATTTATCTGGCATATGAAAATTGAATTGAAATTTGTTGGAATAAAAGCCGAATAACGATAATGTAATCTTTCAATTAGCTCACAACTGCTATATAAAAGGGTCGGTTATGCTTATTTGAAAAGGGCAAAACACACAAGAGCTATCTGCCTATTGGGAGAGATGCCTTCATGGAGGGCTTATAGAGATATTAGGTTAATTGGGAAAGCCAGAGAGATGAAAAATTAACAACGCCTTCTCCGAGAATCTAACCACGGACCTCTGAAATACCCGCTCAGTGTGCTAACCACTACACCACGAAGGCACGCTAGGAAGGCAGGAGAAATTCCTTATAGGCTTTCTAAGAGAAACTAGGTCGTGTTCACGTTTCACATACAGAAAACCAACCATGCAGCCAGCCCATTCTCCTGGAATTGAATCCGGGACGAACTCCCAGCATTCAGCGATCTTAAACACTCTCATTATGCAAAAGGGGACGATCGTGTGGTCGATATGAACACAACATTGTTTTCGTTGCTCAACATGACATCTCAGCAACTATTCTCCAGTTTCGCTTGCTTGAATCGTTTAGGTTTGGTGAACTGCTTCTTCGAATCTAATTTTTGCTAAGTCATTTTGTGCGTAATAATGTATATGAAGTCAAAATGAAGAAATTTAGAGTTAGTAAGTATTAAGGAAAGGGTAACTAAACGATTTTCAACCACATCCCAGATGACGCTTCGATCTCTTAGAAAGACTAACCTAATAGGATATCGTCAAATTTAATGTATCAGTCCATTACAAGACTGAACTATTCAATCTGTGTACAAACATTCTTCAGGCGTTGAAATTAACGCACGAACAGACAAAAATACTAAAAATAAAAAAAAAAAAAAAAAAAAAAAACTGAATAAGTGGGAAGCTGTATGGTTTCATTTATTCCGTTATGAATGTTATTTTAATCTTTAATCACTATTCCGAATTCATAAAACAACATTTCTGCGTCTCAAAAATTGCCTGCTGCCTTTCTTGAAATTTCTGCAATTGTGAAGCCTGTTCTGAGCTTTCTTACATACGAATTTCCGCGTGTGTCAGCTGTCGCTTATCTACTAAACTTATTTCTAAATTAAACCGCGGGACTTGTTTACAACAGCCGCATTCACAAACTACTTTACTGATAAAATATTGTTGCTTTCGTTGTTAAAAATACTAATAGAAATGAACACAGCGTGATAGACACTTTTTCCCTTCCGCAAAATGTTCTCTTCAGAACAATTAATACACGATGATGTACAAATAGACTCATATTTCCTACATTACTTTTAATGAACAAAACAACATAAATTTTTATTCATAAAGAAAAATTAGTCGATATCTCTCTCTTTCAGTAGGGGTACATGAGGTTTTTCTGTATGACTCAAAGCGCTGAAAGCTCTATAATTTCGATATGAAAATTGAACTGAATAATTTGTTTGCTTTGAAAGCTGTGTAATTTTGCTAACTACTCGGAAAAAAAAAATTTATCCAATATTCTTTTACGTATGCAAAACTTACATGAAAACCCATACAATACCACTTTTTTTAATTCATTTATTCTTAAAGAATGAGGATGGTAAGAGCAAAAAGATACAACGTATTACATATTATTATGCGCATTACTTCACATTGTTATGCGCTAAAATTAGAATATTTTATGTTGCTAGCAATATATATTGACTCATGCAAATAGTTGAAATTCAAAATGATTTAGAAATAAGGAAGTGATTAAATATAGGAAATCTACATTTAAATTTAGATGAAAGGATTGACAGTAAGGTACTTTATTATTCATAAAACATGAACAATAGCGAAATTATTTTTCTATATGCTATGCATTTCAAACAAAAGAACAGCAACCATCCTTTTAGGCTCTTGATATGATGATGATCACATACATAAAAATACTCTGGCTGACTCCGAGCGTTGGAGCAACTAATATCCGGCCTTCCTAATCCTTCTTCGCTGATCCGGTGAGTTTCTTGTTCTGCTTGCTGCTAGACCAAATCAGAGAGACGCCAAGGAAGCTAATCCCTCTTCTCTCTCTCTTACAGAGCAGAGAAGAACAATTCATCAAGCTAAGGGGCTGGGTTACCTCATAATACAAACCTCAAAAGAAGTTTATCGATTTGCAATAAAAACATTTCAAGCTTTCTAACAAAGATACATTACACGCTATAATTAAAAATTTAGGATAGACATTTTGAGTGTAGTTAAACAGGCTTGATATTAAGAATATGTATGTTTGGAC